TTGGTGTCGTGGCATTTCTGTATCCTCCTCCCTTCTGCTAGTGATGGTCTAAAATTTGGGGGCCAATGGCTTATGCTGGACCGGTAGTCAGTGACGGGTATGATCCAATTGCAGTGGTATCAACCTAAGACAGGAGGCTGACGCCTAAAGGTCAGTTTTCCGATGACGGGTAAGAACCATATGTTGAATTGGACAACCTACCAGGCACGGTCCATAAGCCACATTAACCTCACTCCCCCACTGGCACCAAGGCCAAATTTGGGGGCCAACAGAGGTGAGGCAAAGAACCTCACCCCCCCACTGGTGCATAGACCTATCCACAAGTATGGCTGTATGCTGGACCGGTAGTCAGTGACAGGTATGATTCAATTGCAGTGGTATCAACCTAAGACAGGAGGCTGACGCCTAAAGGTCAGTTTTTCCCATGACGGGTAAGAACCATATGTTGAATTGGACAACCTACCAGGCACGGTCCTTAAGCCACATTGCTTGTTGTTTAATTAATCAGAAGGGGGGAGATGCTGGGAGCCATTAGCCAAGTAGGTATGACAATTTCCTTGCCAGCGTACCCCATGTTGCTGACATGTTGCAGTGACATTGAATGTAAGTGACCTTGCTCAAGGACCAAGGCAGATTAGGGTGTTCCCGGTTTTAAGATAATCCTGTTTAGGGCGTTCCCAGTTTAGGTTCCAGGTTTAAGATTATTCCTGCTGGGAATAGGGCGTATCCTGCTGCCTGAGTTCCCCTTGAGTTCTCACGGGATTCAGACAGTATTTTTTGGAGATAGAAGCCCAGTGGAGGTGAATTTGGGAGAGAAGGTGGATTTGGGAAGAGAACGTGGATTTCCCCAGAACGTGTTTGTAGACGGCTGGTGTGAGTTCAGGAATAAAGAGTTGCTGTTTGAATCTACAAGCTGTGTGGTGGCTCGTGATTGTGTGCCCAGCCAGACTGCGGCATTTGTGCCCAGCCAGACTGTGGCAGGAATACATTTAACCAAAGAGGTGAAAAATCTCTATGATGAAAATTATAAAACATGAATGAAAAAAATTGAAGGGGACATAAAAAAGTGGAAAGATATCTGATATTCAAGGATTGGAAGAATCAATAGTTTTAAAATGTTCGTACTACCCAAGGTGATTTATAAATTCAATGAAATTCATACTAAAATGCCAATGATTCCAGGTACTGTGGCACACACATGTAATCCCAGTGGCTTGGGAGGTTGAAGCAGGAGGATGGCAAGTTCAAGGCCAACCTCAGCAACTTAGGGAGGCCCTAAGTAGTGAGACCCTGTCGGATGTGGCTCAGTGGTAAAGTGCCCTAGGTTCAATCCCCAGTACCCCAAATTAAACCAACCAACCAACCAGCCACTGCCCCAAACAATGGTGTTCTTCACAGAGCTAGAAAAAAGGCAATTCTAAATTTCTATGGAACCACACAAAATCCTGAAGTCAAAGCCATTTTGAGCCAAAAGAACCAAGCAGCATATAGAATACTACGTGACTTCAACACGTACTGGTCATCAACAGCATGGGATTGACATGAAAGCGGACATGTGGAAGAATGTGGAAGTAATACGCAGCCTAGAAGTAAAGCCATGTTTTTATAGCCATCCAGTTTTCAACCAAGGGGCTACGAACACATACGGGAGGAAGGACAGTCCTTTCACTAAATAGTGCTGGGAAAATTAAGAGATCCACATGCAGAAGAGAGAAGCTAGACCCCCGTCTCGTACCAGTTACTGAGATCAGTGCAAAATGGATTAACACTTCAGTGTGAGTAAGATCTGGCTATGAGGCTCCTAGAAAAAAATCCCGGGGGGGCGGTGTGGTATGCTTCAAGACATTGGCACAGACAAGGATTTTTTTACAAGACCCAAGAGCACAGGATATGAAAGCAAAACCAGACAAATGGTATTACATAAACCTAAAAACTGCACGTGGAAGGAAACAATCAACATAATGCAGAGACAACCTGCAGAGTGGGAGAAAACCTCTGTAATGTGTACATCTGACAAGGGGTTGATATCCAGAATGTGTAAGAGATTCTATAAAGAACTCCAAAAGCCCTGTAGCAAAAACACCGCCAAATGAACCAATTAAAAATGGGCAATAGACCTAAATAGACATTTCTCAAAAGAAGACATACAAATGACCAAGAAGTAGATGAACAAATGCTCAACATCACTAACTCTCAGGAAAATGCAAATCAAAATCACAATATCACCTCACCCCACTCTTGAGAAAGAATGGCTAAATATCAAAAAGACTAAAGACAGGGGCTGGGGTTGTGGCTCAGAGGTAGAGCACTTGCCTAGCATGTGTGAGGCACTGGGTTCAATCCTCAGCACCACATAAGAATAAAATAAAGGTATTATGTCCACCTATAACTAACTATATATATGTATTATATATATATGTATTTTATATAGTTAGTTATATATTTCAAGACTAAAGACAATACATCTGGTGAGAATGTGCACACTGTTGGGAATGTCAACCAGCATAGCTTTATGGAAAAAAGTATGCAGTTCTTAAAAAAAATAAAGCTAAGTCTGCCATATGACCCAGCACTCCCACTACAGGGCATACATCCAAAGAAAATGAGATCAGTACCTTGAAGAGACAGCCACACTCCATGTTCTTCGGGGCACTATTGTGATAGCCAAGAAATGGAAACAAGTGTCCACCAACTGACAAATGGAAAATGTGGCATATATACACAATGGGATACCTCTCCTCCACAAGAATGATGAAGTCCTTTTATTTGCAGGAGGGCGGATAGCAATGGAGATCACTATGCAGAAAGACTAGTCTCACTCCTATGGACTGGGTGGGGATCCTTAACCCTGTGCAGAGGCAGGACTGATGGACATACTGGAGAACAGAATCCCCTGGAGAGCCATATGGGCCATTCTGGAGTCCAAGGTGAGGTCAAGTGGAAACGAGGAGGCTTGTGCTTGTCAGGGGCACTGGAGCAGGGGTGGCCGGGGTTCAGTGCAGCTTTCTCGCCTTACTCAGGTAACCAGTTATTCCAGTAACCCAGATTCACGTCGTGACGAGGCTCTCGACACGTCTAGTGGACTTAGTCACAAGGGTTGTTTTTCCCTGCAATTTCCTTGGCCAGTTCAGAAAACACACAAGCAGTCATTGAGACCTCCATGTATTTAACTGCTTTACAAAATACTCTCATTTGCTTTTGCCTTTGAAGATAGGATACTTTTTGAGTTGGGATCTGGCTATGTATCCTCTGTGTGATTTTGTAGTCTTGTGCCACTTGCCACAGTGGTGTCTGGCTTGGTAGTGGGGGGTGGGCGAGAGAGCAGATAGTCACGGAGCCGCAGAGCAACCAGGGGAGAAAGCACAGCATCCTCCTCAGCTTAAGCAAAGGCTGCCCTGCTAAGGAGAGGCAGAGTCCACTCCACACATGGGTCTCTTTCTCTGAGGCCAGGAAGTGCACGTCGTGACGTTGGTCAGAGAGCCTGAGGGGTCCTGTGACTTGCAGGACCTCTTTCCCTATGCTCAGGTTTGTGCTGACACTTGGCATGGGCCTGGGGAGTTTGCCCCTATGGTTCTTGAACTTGCCTCCTAATCAGATCAGAAGCTCCAGGCACACACACAATGTCTCTTCTGTATTATGGAGAGCAAGGAAGGCTCCTGGGCCCACAGACCCTTAGACTCAACTGGTTCTGGCAGATTCATGCACTCGCAGTGAGAATCAGAGGGACTTCCTGGGGTTGCCTGTTACAAATTAATTATTGCTCTGCCCTTCATAAGGTTGTGATCTCCATAACCGGCTCAATCTGTCGTAAAACTTACTCCTCTTTCAGACTCTTGGTTTATTTGGGAGAGCCAAGGAGGCTGCAAGGAGAGTGGACTTTTGAAGTCAGTAGGATGGGTCTGAACTTTGTCTCTGCTGCTGACTTGACATATGAACCTTTAAAAACTACAGAATCACTTTTACCTACATTATTTGGAAGATCGGAAAAATACTTAAGCTAAAGGACTGTGTATTAGACAAGGTGATATCATTTACACAAAAGTGCCTAGCATAAAACATTTACTCAGTGTTCATTATCATCTCTCTCCCTCCCTCCTTTCTCCCCAGAAAAGACAGCTCAGACAGAAGAAATTCATCAACACACTTGGAATCAAGGAGGCAAACACTGTGAAAGGCCTGCAACAGCAGCTTCTAACAGGAAATAAATGGCCTCTATCAAAAAGAAACTGGACTTTCTTTTTTTTTTTTTTTTATTTTCTGGGAGCGGGTACCACGGATTGAACTCAGGGGCACTTGACCACTGAGCCACATCCCCAGCCCTATTTTGTATTTTATTTAGAGACAGGGTCTCACTGAGTTGCTTAGCGCCTCACTTTTTGCTGAGGCTGGCTTTGAACTCATGATCCTCCTGCCTTAGCCTCCTGAGCTGCTGGGATTACAGGCATGAAACTGCTAGGCCCCTGGGTGAAAGTCTGGCACTGGCAGATCTCTGCTGTGCTCTGTCATTAACAACACACACCAAAAATAGTCATTCATTGAATTGGTAAAGTGAGAAACACACTGAACTGAACAGACAGGTGGCAAATGAATTCATTCAACAGGTGTGCCCTGGGTACCCAAGTGTAGGGCCCCAAACAAGTGGGACTCAGTGACTACATAAAAGCAATAAAGTCTTATAAATCAAAAAACAACAAAAAAAAAGCCACAGTGACGGCCCTCACGGAGACACTGCCAGGTGGAGAGAGGATGACAGTCAAACAACGCATGTGAAGGCCTGTAACACCAGCATGCTCTGGGTACGAAGGCTTGTGGGCCCGGGACACAACAGGACTGGGCAGGAACATGTGTCTGTTAAAGGTTGACTAGAGAACGTACTGATGGCCAAAAAATTGGGGACTTGTATCGTTTAAAATTAACTCATTTACAAACTATACAGTTTTGAATGGGGGCAGCCCTTTCAAAATATGCTTTAGGTCATTTTGGGAAGGTCACCAACAAACCTGAAATAGAGAGGTCTGATCTCTGCTTCTGCTTCTGCTTCTTCCTCTCACCAGCTGATGGGACCTTGCACAGAACACCAGATTTCTTTGTGCCATGGTTTTCACATTTGTAAAATACCAATTTTCTCTTTCTTCCTTTCCAGCTTGAAAGGATTGGGGGTTTTTTGTGTGTGTGTCTGAAAACCAGGTAATTAGTTCTCAAAAATCTAACCAGAAACAAAACCGAACGTGAACTCCAAGGGAGGGAGCACCGTGGTCTGGAGAGCCGGGAGGTGCCCGAAGGCTGCTTGTCCTTTGGCAGAAAGAGCCCTGCTTTTTGTTTTATTTTCATTTTTTAAAATTTACAAATTTGTTCTAATTAGTTACACATGAGAGTCGAGTGCATTTTGACACACTGTTCACAAACGGAGCACCACTTCCCTTGCTCCGGCTGGGCCTGGTGCAGTCACAGGGGCGTGTAATCACAGGTGTGTACAGGTAATGATGTCCTCCCATTCCTGCGTCCTTCCCTTCCCAGCCCCTCCCTCCCCTTACTACCCTCTGCACCATCCAAAGTTCCTTCCTTCTCCCCACCCCCCACTATGGATCAGCATCTGCTTATCAGAGAAAACACTTGGCCGTTGGGTTTGGGGATTGCAGTCCTGCTTTTTGAACTGGACCTTTGTACAGCAGGAATCTGCACCCCATACTACCCCCACCCCCCGCACTCATCTTCTGGGACATGGAGAGATGTGGGTGGTTTGCACACCGTATCAGGTGTGGGCTTTGGGATCTAATCAGCCGCGTTTCCCCTCCTGTGCACCGTGATCTCACAGATTCCCAGCCGCCACCTGTGGAGTGTCTCGGTTTCCAGAGCCTGGCTCTGCTGTCATTCCAAAGAGAAAATCAGAGGCAAGCTGGACTCAGAGGCAGTCCAGGACTCTGTTCTTCTCAGGGACAACTTCTTCCCACCCCCAACGTGACCCTGGTCTCCTGAGCACTTCCCTTGGCTTCCTGACTTCCTAACTGTCCTGCTGTGACCTGCACCAAGAGGCTCCAGTCACTCTCCTCCTCAGCGAATGGGCTTTGCAAGAACAGCGTCCCCCGCAAACGCAGCTTCTGTAAACATTTTCCCTGAAAACAAAACCCCGGGACACTTACCTCGTTACATGGAGCAGACGCTCGAGCCGAACAGCCAGAGTGTGTCTCTCCCCCTCTCTCTGAAACCCAAATCACTTGTCCTAAGAGTAAACCTAAGGCTGACTTTGATCACAGCCCTCTCTGCCTAAAAGCAAAGCGACTGGCCTCTCAGGCTGGTGACAGCAGGAAGTGTTCGCTCTAAAGAGTTGGTACAGACGGGAGCTCGGGCCTGCGCGGTCCTGGGGGCTGGGCGACGGTGGAAGCGGCCTTCGGATTGGAGGGACGGGCGTCTCCTGCGGTCCCAGGCACAGTGCCCGGGAGGCAGGCGCGCTTTGCCTCGGGCGCCGGCAGGGGGCGCCAGACAGCCCCCAGCCCAACCAACTGGGCACAAACTTCTCACCCTGACTCCTAACTTGGCCTCTTGGAGCATCAGGTGCGGTCGAAAAAGATAGAGCAATTTAGGTGACCTGCACCAAGAGGCTCCAATCAGGTGGTTCCACGGCTGGCGTTTCCCGACTCCCTGAGTGTGATTTTAAAATTGAGGATTCACAAGGAGTTCCAGCGGGATCATCCTTCAGATTGGGTCAGCAGAGGGAGCTGGTGAGGTGTGTCTGGGAAAGCCTAAGACAACCTTGAGACATCCACTCTGTCAAGAGGAACAGGAGGACCACAGTGGAGGTACCCCGCATTCCTGTTCTCTCCACCCAGTGCTGGGAACCTAGCATCGCAGACCGTCTTAGGTCTTGTGTCTGGGGACATTTTCCCACACGGTCCTCTAGAAGTTTCTGAACCAGGAGTCACAAATTGCAAACGTCTACAGGAAGGCAAGAAGTGGGTCAGATAACGTCTGACTGGAAGCAGCACCTGTGGATTTAGTTTAGATAAATGTTGCCAATATCACAAGGCTTTAGGCTCAACAGAAGCTGCAGATCTAGATGTTAATCTGTTGGTAACAAATTAATTTTTTTCTTTTGCAAAATATAAAGAGACAGTTGAAACTGTTGAAGAACCTGTTTCATTAATGAACAACAATGTATAAAAGAGGTTACCACCCACACATGCTCTCCTCCCCACCCCCATGCTCTGCCCCCCATCGCTCTCCCCCCACCCTGCTGGCTCTTGCCAAACCATCTGAAAATAATCTGGAAACATCGGTGCCATCCAGATGCTTCAGCATGGGTCTCACAAGCAAGGGCACATGCCCTGCCAATCATATTGTCAGTTCCACACTCCATGTAAGAAAGTCTATGTAAATTTAATATATAGTCCAACATATAGTCTACCTTAAAATTCCTCCACAAAATGCAGAATGTCCAAAGCGTCCTAGTGGTGTGCTGGAGTTGGCTTGTAGTGAGAGAATGTATACACCTCTTCCAACTCTGAGTTTGAGAATATCAAGAGACTTTGGTCACCGTCAGAAAATTTACACAATGAAAATTGGCAAATGGTCTGGTTGGCTGCCTGCACTCTGAGCCAGTCTTAAACATTCACCAGCACCCTCCCCTTTTTTTTTTTTTTTTTTAGAAACAGCTTTATTGAAGTATGACTGATATACAAAAATACCTGTGCACATTTAAAGTACACAATTTGATGAGTCAATTAGGACTGAATACAAACATAAAACCACAAAGGTAATGAACGTAATCATCACCTTCAAAAGTTTCCTCTGTGTGTGTGTGTTGGGGGGGGGTTAAGAATACATAACAGGAGATCTTCCATCTTAATTGTTTAAGCACACAATGCTGTATTTTTAGTTACCTGCTGTGTTCTATAGCTGATCTCCTGAGCTTTTTCATCTTTCATTTTGAAAGAGTCTGACAACTCTCCATTCCCTCCCACTCTCAGCCCCTGCCAACTGCCCTTCTCTCTGCTTCTATGAATTCAACTGTGTTAGATAGTTTATGTGAGTAGAATCATGCTGTGTCTGTCTGTCTGCGACTAGCCGATTTTGCATAGCATAATCTCCTCCAAGCTCATCCATGTCCTACTTAAGGCAGAATTTCCTTTTTTTCAGGCTTAATAATGTTCTGTGGTGTGTACATTTCACATTTTCTTTAACCATTCATCTGTTGATGGGCATTTGTTCACCATATTTAGCTATTGTGAACAATGCTACAAGGAAGGGGAGAGTGGAGGTGTGAGACCCTGGTTTCAGTTTTCCTGCATGTACACCCCAAAGTGAGATTGGTGCATCATTTACCATCATACTTTTGATTTTTTGAGGACTTTTCACACTGTTTTCCATAATAACCCACCATTTTGTATTCCTACCAAGAGCATGGACGTCTTCGGTGTGTGCTAGCTTTGTTTATGATAATAGCTATCCTGTCAGGTGTGGGGTGATAAATCCTTGTGGTTTTAATTGCATTACCTAACAATTAGTGCTGTTGAGCACCTTTGCCTCTTGGTCATTTGTGTGTTTTATTTGGAGAATGTTAAGTCCATTGACAATTTTAGAATCAGTTATTTGGTTTTGGCTTCTGACCTCTTCTCAGATACGTGGTTCGCGGTCTTTCTCCCTCCCACAGGCTGCCTTTCCTTTGCAGTACGCAGGACGTGTAGTGTGGTGGAATCCCACTTGTCTGGTTTTGCTTTTGCTGCCTGTTCTTTTGGTACCTGTTAGGGTTTGGAAGTGAGGTGTTTCCTAAAAGCTCCTGTTCATGCAGGAGTGCTCAGAGGTGAAATGACTGGTCTGTGAGAGCTGTCACCTGATCAACCCGTCCTAGTCTGAATGGGCTGACTGGTGGTACCTGTAGACAGGTGGGGCGTGGCTGAGGAGGTGGTCACTGGGGGCTGTCCTGGGAGGTGCATCTTCCCTGTGACCCTTCCCATCAGTACTTCCTGACCCCACCATGAGCGGAGCAGCTCCTCTACTGGGTCCTTTCCCCATGTTTGCTGTTTCGCTTTGGGCCCAGAGCAATGGAGTCAGCCATCTATGGACTGAGACCTCTGAAATCATGAGCCTCAGATAAATGTATCCTCCTCTAACTCATTCTTTTCAGGTATTTTGGTTACAGTGATGCCAAAGTTGGCTAATACAGTATCATAGCCCAAATTTCATTGCCAAGACCAATGTGAAGAAGGATATAATGAGAAGTTGGCTGTTTGCACGTAGATTGCTTTGGGAAGTGTGGATATTTAAAGCAATATTAAGTCTTCTAGCCCATGTTTACATTTAATTATTTAACCTGTTTTAGTCGATGTTTGTGTATGGTGTAAGATAAAGGCATTCTTTTGCATGAGGATTTCTAGTTTCTTGGCCATATTTATTAAAGAGGCTCCTTCCTGTTGTATATGCTTGGCACTCTTATCAGACGACCATGTGTTTGTGGGTTTGTTTTGGGAACTGCATCCTGTTCTGTTGGTCTCTATGTCTGCCTTTATGCCAGCACCACATTGTTTTAATTACTAGAGTGTCATAATATCATTTTAAACCAGGAAGTGTGATATCTACGGTTTCCTTCTTTCTCAAGATTGCCTTGGCTATTTGCGGTGTTTTGTGGTTCCATGAGAATTTTAGATTGTTCTTCTTTTCTATCTCTCTAATCCAGGAAGAGTGTCTCACTGTTAGGAAGTAGTTTAATAATGAGCAGTGAAACATGAACCAATAGCACAGCAGGGCACAGAACTTCTCTGAATTGCCTTTGTTTTTTTTTTTTTACACATCTGACAGGTAAAGGCTGCAGAAGGTGGACTCTGGTTCTCCTGGTGAACACCAGACAGTTATCAGTTTGGAAGCAGACAAGTTTCCTGGTCCTTCTCTGCTTGGAGACATGTACTCTGTCTTGAGAGTGTGCTTATTTGAGCCTTACTTATTACACCTACAATAAAATTTGCTTGCTTGATTTTCATGGGACACAAGAACTGAGGTCTGAATGGTCAGCTCCCACTCTTCTGTGACACCCAGCGTGGTGCCTAGACTCAGATTGACAGCGCCCTCTGCAGGAAGGTGCTTGCAGTTCACCTGTTCACCTCCGGGTTTTGGCTGAGGCTAAGCCCAGCTTGGCCTCTGATGCCTTCCTTTGGCCTTGGACTTCTCTGTGAACTCTTTCCTCTGCCAACATTCCCTCCGTGTGTCACACCTACGTTCTGCCTGCCCTTGTCATCTTGTTGCATTTACTCAACTTTATGGCAGTCAGTGACCACATTGGCACCTTGTGTTTTCCACTCGCAAACTTAGGCTCTCTTTACTCTCTAGCTCCTTTTTTTTTCCCCTTTTGATTTTTTTTCTGGCATCTTTCTTCCCACTGCTGCGCTGAATAGAAGTGGCAAGAGTGGGCACCTTGTCCTGTTCCCTAGGTTAGAGGGATAGCATTCAGCTCTGCACCATTGCGTACTCTCCCATGGGCTTTCTGAATATGGCCTTTGGTATTTGAGTTAAATTCCTTCTACGCTTAGTTTGTTGGGAGTTTGTTTTCTTTTAGTCAGAAAAAGGTGTTACATTTTTTAAAAGCGTGTTCTCTGTCTATTGAGATGATTCTATGATTTTTATCCTTCAGAGTTAGAGAATGATCCAGGAGAAAGGGGACATGTAGTGTTTTACCTTAATTGATTCTTTATGTTGAACCACATACAACTCTTTTAGTTACGTTTTTCCTGAGAATGGAGTAAAGTTTATAGATTGCATTTGGCTGTGTGGTCTCTCTCGTCTTCCTTATTCTGCCACAGTTCTCCAGCTTCCAGAGAGTCCAGTCTAAGAGTGGTCAGCATGTTCCAGTTTGATAGTCCTGGAACTATTCTCCAATAGCCTTTTCACTATAGTCCTTATTTCTATTTGTTCCCCTGTAATTCATTCTCCAGAATGATCTAAGTTGTAAAGTAGAGCTCAGCCCTCTGACATATAAGATGTTGAGTGAAGGGATCTGTTCTCAGAGATAGAGAATGATCCAGTAGAAAGGGGGCAATTATCTGAGCAAAGTTCTTGGGAAGTGTGGAAGGATGGGATCCATAGCACAAGTGCAGGGGTGGGGCTTGGGGACACAGGTGGCCTGTGCTTACTAACAGGAGTGTATGGGCACAGCAGCAGGTGGGCCCAGAGATGTGGAGGTGGAAATCTCTTGATGTTCTCTGCTAACTGTTGCTGCCTGCCCCTCAGAGAGTGGGGTGGGGGGAGTGGTATAGGTGTGTGGGGAGAGGAGAGAGACCTGGGAGTGAAGGTATTAGGGGAACCTGGCAGGATTTGGGGCAGCAGGGTAGACTGGAGTCCAGGAGTGACCAGTTAGGGTGCTGAGTGCTTTTC